ATTCAGCTATTCATATGCATCTTTTGGATTCATTCTATGTATTAAGTTTTCGAGAAAATCAACGAAATGTGAAAACACTGCTTTTTCGAGCATTTTTTCAATTTTGAACACGAATTACAGCCAAACGGCTAAAACCGTATTAAACCGTAAAACCGTAAAACTATATTTCAGTTGTGAAAATTGATTGCGCAACGTCGTCGTCCGTAGGGACACACTCTGGCGTTGGAGTGGCGTTGGCGGTAATGGGCCGATCGGGATTGGTCTCGGCGACCGGAAGTGATTGATGGCCGGTCCTAATTTCCAATACCGGAAATCAATATCATCGTTACATCACACACACTCTTTCGGACACTGTCGACTGTAAACGAATCGGAAGGAAGGAAGGAAGGATATTGGGGTTATTTCGCTCACCGGAACTGATCCCTCGAGTTGAGCGTTTCCTGCTTGATGGAGAGGATGACCGGACCCAGATCCTCGTCGTTCGTGAAGTAGTTCCAATGCTCGGTGCCGTAAAAGTACTTCTCGTACGTCTCCTGTTCGACGCTCGTCAATTCGAATCCTTGATTCTTCTCCCATTGCTCCTCGATGGTGGTCTTCTTCCTCGGTGACGAAGTATCATCGTCCTCATCGTCTTCGTACAGATCGTTGCATCCTATTAACCACAAAACAAAAATCAAATAATTAAACAGAAAATAATGAAAACAAAACGCTCTAAATCGGATTGCATTGCAACGCTCCTAATTAAAGCCGAGCTTCGGTAACGAAAGAGCTTCCAATTAATCCAATTACGACTAATAACGGAAGGTGTCTGATTTCCGCGTAACGAAAAACCTGAAATTTGCTCTTCAACAAATTACAACATTCATCTTTAATCAATATATATTCGTCACATGCAATGCTTTGTTCGGCAATAAATATAAATAGATTGACGTATGTAAATGTCAAATCTGATTTAACCTTCAACTATTGACAAGTGACATTTCCGTCATTGACGGATAATTCAACAAACACGTTACTAAGCAACAATCAATACGTCCATCTTTAATGGTATTTTTACGTTGTCAACTGAAATTTTACCTAGATCTCTTGTGGACAGCTTGTGACCGTTTTCGTGCTGATCCACGTGGATGTGGTGGTGATGATCGTCGTCCTCCTCGTCGCCTTCGGGCAGATCGTGATCCGACTCGCTCTCATCCCAGATGGTGTCCGTGGCGATCTTCTGTCTGGAACACTCGATCCAATATCCCGGCGTGATGGTGAAGTTGTGCGGAAACTCTTCGCAAAACTCGTCTGGTGGCGGATGTGCAGCGACAACAACAAGAAATGAAAACAGCATAAATTAGCACAATTCTTCTAAAATCGTTCCGGTTTTTTTATTATTGCCTTTATTGTGGATCAAAAAAAAAAAAACTTTTGAACGTTTCGCGCAGTATAATGGACGAGCCACAAGTGGTTTTCCATTATCCGCGATGCAACAGCCGAAGTTTTCCTTTCCGCGTTTAACTTGATAATTATAAATTTAATAGTTTAATTATGACTTCGCAATTTCATATTGCAATACTCGACATAATCTTCACCAATTTAGACTCGTTTAATATCTAACTACTATTAGAGATTGGTACAATTTTTGTTGGAAAGTGTAAATTTGGAAGATATCTTCAACTGGTTCGTTGGTCTAGGGGTATGATTTTCGCTTAGGGTGCGAGAGGTCCCGGGTTCAAATCCCGGACGAGCCCACTTCTATCTTTTTTTTCATATGATAAATATAAATTGATTTGTGTGTAAAAGAATTACAAATTCTTAATTTATAATGTTCCCTAATTTATATTATTGTTAAAAGCTAATTTAAGTTAAAAATATGAAAATGTACCAATTGAAGATATTTATAACAGGCTCGTTGGTCTAGGGGTATGATTTTCGCTTCGGGTGCGAGAGGTCCCGGGTTCAAATCCCGGACGAGCCCAGGAATGTATCTTTTGTACCAAGGATAATACAAAAGGTTAAAAGTTGAAGTATATCTACATTGGACGATTTCGGCAGAGATAGATTTCAAACTCAGTACTGAAGCGAGATATTGTGTACTTCTTGCAACCGTGTAATCTGAAGATATATCCAATTTATATTATTAGAAATTGTTGTCTCTGAAGATATCTTCATCTGGCTCGTTGGTCTAGGGGTATGATTTTCGCTTCGGGTGCGAGAGGTCCCGGGTTCAAATCCCGGACGAGCCCAAAACATATCTTTTATAATATGGTATGGTACAAAAGATAAAAAATAACAGGTACATTGAGATATCTTCAACTGGCTCGTTGGTCTAGGGGTATGATTTTCGCTTAGGGTGCGAGAGGTCCCGGGTTCAAATCCCGGACGAGCCCACTATGTATCTTTTATACCAAAATGTGGTATAAACAAAGATAAAAAAAAACTTAAAGGTACTTTGATATATTTTCATATGAAAGATAAGAATTATAAAAAGTAGAAAGACTCAAACAGAAAATTATCTTAAAGTTCTAATTGTACAATTTTCTTTTCGGTTGTGAGAGTTATATACCACCACCCGGGAGCAAATGTTTTATACCACGAACTTGTAATTATAATACATATCTTCAATAGTTTCCACAAAAAATAGGTTAAATTAGTTCATATAAATTGAGCTCTTTCCAGTTAGTGCCATGTAAAGCATACAAAAGTCATGCATTTTTTCTAAAATTGTTGATATTGTCTTGTAAAATTGTTCAATTCTAAAGATATTTTTTTGAATAAACCATTTAGCCAGAAATATATGCCTCCGTGGCGCAATTGGTTAGCGCGTTCGGCTGTTAACCGAAAGGTTGGTGGTTCGAGTCCACCCGGGGGCGAAAGTTTTGTACCACAAAATTATAATTACAATACATATCTTCAATAGTTTCCACAAAAAAATAGGTTAAATTAGTTCATATAAATTGAGTTCTTTCCAGTTAATGACATGTAAAGCATACAAAAGTCATGCATTTTTTCTAAAATTGTTGATATTGTCTTGTAAAATTGTTCAATTCTAAAGATATTTTTTTGAATTAACCATTTAGCCAGAGATATAAGCCTCCGTGGCGCAATTGGTTAGCGCGTTCGGCTGTTAACCGAAAGGTTGGTGGTTCGAGTCCACCCGGGGGCGAAAGTTTTATACCAACAACTTATAATTATAATACATATCTTCAATAGTTTCCACAAAAAATAGGTTAAATTAGTTCATATAAATTGAGCTCTTTCCAGTTAGTGCCATCTAAAGCATACAAAAGTAATGCAATTTTTCTTAAATTTTTGGACATTGTCTTGTAAAATTGTTCAATTCTAAAGATATTTTTTGAATTTACCATTTAGCCAGAAATATATGCCTCCGTGGCGCAATTGGTTAGCGCGTTCGGCTGTTAACCGAAAGGTTGGTGGTTCGAGTCCACCCGGGGGCGAAAGTTTTATACCAACAACTTATATACCAACAATACATATCTTCAATAGTTTCCACAAAAAAAATAGGTTAAATTAGTTCATAAAAATTGAGTTCTTTCCAGTTAGTGACATGTAAAGCATACAAAAGTAATGCAATTTTCCTTAAATTTTTTGACATTGTCTTGTAAAATTGTTCAATTCTAAAGATATATTTTTTAAATTAACCATTTAGCCAGAGATATATGCCTCCGTGGCGCAATTGGTTAGCGCGTTCGGCTGTTAACCGAAAGGTTGGTGGTTCGAGTCCACCCGGGGGCGAAAGTTTTATACCAACAACTTATAACTACAATACTTATATTCAATAGTTTCCACAAAACAAAATAGGTTAAGTTAGTTCATATAAATTGAGCTCTTTCCAATTAGTGCCATGTAAAGCATACAAAAGTCATGCAATTTCTCTAAAATTGTTGACATTGTCTTGTAAAATTGTTCAATTCTAAAGATATTTTTTTTGAATTAACCATTTAGCCAGAGATATAAGCCTCCGTGGCGCAATTGCTTAGCGCGTTCGGCTGTTAACCGAAAGGTTGGTGGTTTGAGTCCACCCGGGGGCGAAAGTTTTGTACCACGAACTTCTAATTACAATACATGTCTTTAATAGTTTCCAAAAAAAAAAATGGTTAAAATAGTTCATATAAATTAATGGTAAATCTGACTCGAAGGATGTATTAATATGAACAATATTTTCAAGTGCAAACTAATTGATTGGTTATTTGAAATTTCATTCGATTAATATCTAATTTAATTCTATATCTCTACACTAATCATCCTCCAATAACTTTTTAACACGTACCAACATTTGGTACAAAATGAGAAAACTTAAAGGTATCTTCGAATATCTATTTTCAACTGATTCATTTTCGATTTGAGTACGAGAGTATTCGGATTCATACTTGTGTTAAAAATATCAAAATGTTTTACGTAAATTTTACTTTAAAGATATATTTGTTTATTCATACAGAAATTGTACCAAATTGAGATATCTTCAACTGGCTCGTTGGTCTAGGGGTATGATTTTCGCTTAGGGTGCGAGAGGTCCCGGGTTCAAATCCCGGACGAGCCCACTTCTACTTTTTATACAACATTAAGTATTGTTTAAATAAATTACCAATACCTATTATATAAATATTAATCGAAGTTTGGGTATCATCTCCGGGTTTCTATAGACTTTTTGGAGTGTACTGATTGTCGCATCCGCTTAATGTCTGGAAAGTTTGTAATCCGTCCAAAATATTTTGTTATAAAATGTCTGCTTGATTCTGTTAAACTTATAGAGAAGTTTTTGGTATAAAAACATTTCAGAAAGAACTAATTTTCTGATGAAGGTGATAAAAATTGGAATCTTTTGAAATAATCGAAGTGATTAGTATATTTAAATTATTGAAAAAGTAGGTCAAATGTTCTGTTTTTTTTTTGTAAAATTAACGCCCCCGGGTGGACTCGAACCACCAACCTTTCGGTTAACAGCCGAACGCGCTAACCAATTGCGCCACGGAGGCTTATATCTTTGGTTAAATTGTGAATGTAAAATTTGAAATATTGCAAAACAATAAGACAAACACGGTTCTGCAGTTACCAAGCATTTGTGTGTAAGTTTATGGTTGATGAGCGCGTTTGTGCTTCGCTGTTTGGGGGTGGTACATTGGTTAGGGGGATGAAATTCATTTGAACTAATTTAACCTTTTCTAAATTATCAAAGATAAGCGAACTTTTGATAAGTGATAGTTTTTACTATAAAACTTTCGCCCCCGGGTGGACTCGAACCACCAACCTTTCGGTTAACAGCCGAACGCGCTAACCAATTGCGCCACGGAGGCTTATACAATGTTATACTTATTAGTTTATTAGGTAATCTCGAAGTATTAATACATTTATGTTGAAAGGTAAATTCAATTCAATTATAATTAACAAATTATAGTAATACTACTGTATTTTGTAGAACAGTTTTAGAAATTGGTATTCTAATTTATATGACTAAATATTGTGCTACCTTGATTTGGATACATAATTATTTAAAGTTTACAGCTTTTTATTCTGAAGATATTTAAATATTTCGTTTGTACCATTTAGCCAGAGATATAAGCCTCCGTGGCGCAATTGGTTAGCGCGTTCGGCTGTTAACCGAAAGGTTGGTGGTTCGAGTCCACCCGGGGGCGAAAGTTTTATATGCAGATCATTTTCCTAAAACTTACATATAAGTCATAATATAAATTAGTTCAAATCAATCTCACTCTGATCAGTGAATGTCTACAAACATCGAAGGCGTTTTTCTAAAAGAATAAAATGTTCCATTTTTGTATAGTTTAGTTCTAAAAAATATTTAAAAAATTACCTTTTAGCAAATGATATATGCCTCTGTGGCGCAACAATTTTGTACCAACAACTTTCAACTAGAATTCTAATCTTCAACCACATGAAATATGGGTTAAATTAGTTCAAATAAATAAATTTATTTCCAGTTAGTGAAGCGTAAACCAAACATAAGTCATGTTTTTTTTTTAATTATTGACATTGTCTTTTAAAATTGTTTAATTCTAAAGATATTTTTTTGAATTAACCATTTAGCCAGAGATATATGCCTCCGTGGCGCAATTGGTTAGCGCGTTCGGCTGTTAACCGAAAGGTTGGTGGTTCGAGTCCACCCGGGGGCGAAATTTTTGTACCAAAAACTTACAACTGCACAATTCATCTTCAATCATTTCTATTAAAAAAATAAGTAAATTAGATCAAATGAAGAGTTTTCTTACTATTAAATATATTGTCACTATTTTTTAATATATATTTCATTATGAAAATTTTGAACATTT